GTCCGGGTTGTTGGGGTAGGTGTCTGTTTCAGATCATTTACCAATAAAGTAAGGTCATTGGTACTAGAATGGGTTTCGAATTCCGTAGTCACTTCTGCAGGGGTAGCTTCTTCTGCGGTTAGAGGTACTTCTGTTTCTATTTGTAGAAATTCATCAAAATTAATTTCTACGGTGATGTTTATAAGAGGGTTCAAGTCTACTGCATTCATAATCAGATACATACTTCAACACTTCTTCAAGTTGTTTCTCACTATCACTATAAATCTTACTCAAAAATTCAACACCTTCTAATCCTTCAGATTTATTCTCAAGACGAAGGCTTACCCCCTTTTTGGCAAAGTATTCACAAAGAGTATTCTCATTCCACTTGTCATTAAAGCAATTACTGCTCAATACATTATTATCACCATATGTAGTTATCTTATTAAATTTGAAAAAATCATTGGCAGGCATGCCTGTCAACTCTCTCCATGCCTCCACAAATAATGTCAAACAATAAATGGTATTGTCTGGATTTACCGTACTTTGCCCGGTTGAATGCCCCCGATGTTTTATTTTAACTTCGCCATCATAAAGGGTCCAAAGGTAACTATTATACAAATTGTCATAGTAAGTCTTCATCATCATTTCAACACGATCTCTCTGAGGATGATTCTCATATCCCATCATTCTAATTTTCATTAACATCCTCATATAGTTATAGCTCATCGTTAAATCCATTGCTGTTATATCCATTTGTAAATGCACTTTATATGATCTGTGCTGTTCAAAAATTAACGGCGGAATTGCATATGCACTTGACATACCTATGGCACAGCCATTCATTGGATCGAAATTCTTGTTTTGATGGCTATTAACAAGTATTCCGTTAAAGTATGTCAGGGGATCCATTGCTATAATGCTTCTTATCTTCTTCTCAATTTGCACCTTTGATAGTTTCAACACTTCATCTTTTAGGAAAACATGACTTACACTTGGTATTGCTACCTCACCTTCTAAATATTGTTTAATCTTTTTAAGGAAAACCTGTCTACCACCCATCTTATGTATCATCTTCCTCCTGAATGTATTTTCATTACCATCAACAAACCGATAAGGGAACCCCCAACTATAAGCAATATGCCACTTTTTCAACACTTCATCTGGGCTCATAAAGGTGCTATTAGCCAATATAGGACGTAATTGATTAAAAACTGCTTTGGTTATCTCATCTTCTCTCTTATCATCCAATTTTGTTTGGGGTGTATCAACAAAATAACGGTCATTGCTTTTCTTAACCATTTTCAAAGTTCCCAATCTCAAAGTAAAAATACCCTCTGGGTGTGGATACTTCTCCTTTAACTCATTAATCATTCTAGCTGTTATAGTATCGATCTCAACATCAAATTTACGTAATGGCATGGTAATTCCTATAGTATAAAGTTCATTTTTAATATTTCTAATATTTAAGTCTATTGGTATTTCAAATAGATTTACATAAAATTCTTGAATCTCTTGTAAATCTAGAATCACTTTTTTTTTTATCTGGGATTTTAAGGTTATGGTCGATGTCTCGATATATCTTTTTACCGACAAAAGAGACATGCTTATGCTTAACCAAATTAATTAACGGGAACCAGACCGTTTTACGATTATCTCTATATTTATTATAAATCTTTTTAGTGTCCTCTACAAAACTGAAATCTGTGAAATAATCAAAGAATGCTGATTCTGTTTTATCTATAGTTATGAAATTGGGTATCTTTAATTGAACCTTAGGATAGATTTGTTCAATACTATCCCAAATGTCTTCGATTTGAGCAGAAGAACTACTCATTGTTTCGTATTCGGGTCAGAAATAATAATCTATATAGCCTTTTAGAGTTCTTTCCTCTGGTGGGATCAATAAGTTATACCCTGGTATATACTTATAATCTATGATCTTTTCCGTCAAATGATACAAAGTAGTAGCCTTCTTAATTTACTCTATAACGACGACACGGCACAGGGAATCCTTTCGTAGGTATATGCGGTGTCCAA